TTTGTAACAAAAACCCGTTGTTATTTATCGATATAAGATCCTAGAATATTAGGTTTGAATAAATTTATAGGCAATTACCCAAACTCGGCTCGGCCGAGACTCTAGCATCTCTGCTAACGCTATTTTACGACGAGACTCGCCGGTTTCACTTGGCATTTCGTCCTCTCCTCTAGATGGTTACACACGTAATCACTCAATGCACCCTGCCAATCCCCTCCCCTTTGTCTTCCCGGGATCCGCGCCCAAGCCCCCTCTCCCTCCATCTATCACTACATCTACGGAATCCAGCATTCTTTACCGCAGCGTGGTAAGGACACCCGAAAAAATCGTTCGCAGATCATGTGTAACGCCGGCTGAGCTGAGCCGGATTTTAGTAATTGCCTATTTATAAACGCTGTTTCAAAAAATGCGGCGATTTTACGGCTTCCATAAGAGGTCTCCAAAACTGAGCGGCTCATTACACACAGCTGAGGAATTTTATTGAACTTTTTAAATGTGGAAAAATGAGCGATGGAGGAGTTATAAAAGATTTTCTGCACTTTTTCATTTTCTGAAAAAAAGGCCAAATTTGAGAGTTTCAAGAAGAACCGGGCAGCCGAATCTGTGCACTGGAATACTCGATAACGAAGCAATTTGATAGATACAAATTTCGGATAAACAAAAAGACTTCTTATAAATATGACCAGAAGACGAAGTTAATTTGCGTGTGGTAAGTAGACTTTTCTTGTTTTGATTAAAGAAAATACCTGGAACAGTTTATCGCAACCTTAAAAGTTTGTGGGTTGAACTGGTGTGCGTGCCGTACTTGTGTTTTGGATGGAGTATGTAAGTGTAAAAACACCTAGTTATAGATATGAATATATTTATAAACAGCAGTCTAAAGGTACACAAAGAACAGCAATCTAAAGGCACACAAGGGAAACTTCGATAAAAGGGGAGAATAAAAAATGAATGGCGAAGCTCTGGGAAGCCGAAGCTCACCAGAACAGGGTGTTGTGGCGAAATAGAAACTCTGCTTCTAGGAGATGGGGAGGAGTGCTTTTATATCCCAGTGGTCATGGATCACTAAGATTGCAAAAAAAATTTGACAGAATAGGGTATCCAAAGATTGAACCGAGAAGCAAAGGTGCTACATCATAGTAACGCAATTGTTCCTTACGTAATTTCTAAAAAAACGCCATAAATCACTGCTTGGCATATTTGGTGACAAGCTGTTAATTTATAATCTGGTTCTCCTTCAATGCAGCTGGCAGCTTATCCAGTTGGCCTTATAAGCACTTCATAATCTACTGGCCAATCTTTTGGCGATTCTATTGCTCGCTTCATTTCCTTAAAGGGTCACCATCTCGTCGGTCTTCTGACAAACAGAATTTGACAAGGATTTGGTTATTTTTTGAGGTGTTCTTGGTAGGTATTGAGCAGTACCAGTTCGTCCAAACGTGTCGCCACTGCATGTCCGTAGTGGGGTAACTTACTGTTTACGGGGAATTAATGTATGAAATTCATTCGAATTTGAATATTCATTCATGTTCAACTTTGGTTTGAATTCTGATTTGAATTTTTTTCGAATTCGAATTTGAATTTTTAATTTTTATTTTTTATAACGTGTTTTGAATTTTGGCTTAATTTTTTTTTTAATTTTGAGTTTTTATAATTTTTACGAAATTTAATTTTGATTTTTTAAAAATATATTTGGATTTTCACCCACAGCAAGAAAGGGGGAGGGGGAGCATGTGAGGAACAAATTAGTGGTATATTATTTGTAAAATTGCAACTGAATCCGGTTTTTACAGGATTGTATAAAGCATTTGATTGCGATAGCTTTGTAACTGTGATAAAATGATGGACAGCGAATTTTTATACGTACACAGTTGTGATTTGGATCAAAATTTGCAAATCAGAATCGGTTCTTTGGAAGGAAGTGTATCGCTTTTGGATAAATCCTATCGCGTTGTTGGTGGCAATTTTTTCGTCACAATCACCGTAAGCCTCCAAAAAATTCGTTAAAATAATGCTTAAAATTATGAAAAACTGATCATGTTATGAAAAAAATGATTATTATGAAAAAATTTTTATGAAAAATTACTATGAAAAAATTGTTATGAAAAAATTGTTACGAAAAATTATTATGAAAAAATTGTTATGAAAAAATTGTGAAAAATTATCATGAAAAAGAATGGAAAAATGATTATACCTGGAATATCCAGGACAGATTTTTATTCTTGGCTTGATTTTCCATTTATTCAACTAATAACTTTTCAATTTTACAGAATTGTTAACTTGTTAATTTTACAGAATTTTCAATTTTACAGAATGGTTTTTTTGCAAAATAATTATTTCTGTAAGTTTATTATTACTTATTCCTCATGGAATATTAATACGAAGTACAGAAACGCTAAATGTATGTTATATTAAAACTGAGAAAATAACGTGATGGTAATCAAATTACAGATAATTAAACATATCTAAGCAGGTAGAGCGTAAAACAAAATGAGACACGATATTGTTTAAATACTTGAGCAGCTGTATGTGTCATCGACGTTCGTTGTCATGCCATCGATTACATTTTTTCAAAAAATTTGCATTTGTCATTTTTTCAGAAAGCGAGCATTTACCGAAAAAATGACCGAGCTTCGTGTAAAAACGACCGAGCTTCGTAGATTTCCTCTTACCTCATCTCCTCCTCCCCTACCTTGCACCACCTCTTCACCGTCCCTGGCAATTTCTCCATTCAACTCGTTGTTGCGCTCTCCGAGTCCATGTAGTACCGTACAGACGTACCATGGGGTCTCTCCACCTCACTGGTGGCCTCCCCAGTGTTTGCTTGACCGTGCGTGGGTACCATTCCATTATCCGCTTCGTCCACCTGTTCTCTGACATCCATGCCACATGACCAGCCCATCTCTTCTTGCTGGCGTACATTGCTTCAGTAATGTCCTTCATGATTTTGCTCTTAAATTACTAAAAAAAGTGTTTTTAACTCGTTTTCCCTCAATTTTTGCATTTCCAGTGATTCCAAAATTTCCAGTTCTGTTACTAATTTTTGATTTCTTTGATGTCTTGCTTCCTTATCCTGTCTTTTTGACACTGTCCGATTCCAAAACACAGAAATTCGAGACAAATATTTCTGGAATTTTTTTCATATTGTATGTGCAGGTTCATTCTTGCCATGTTTGGTGAACAAATGTTGCAAGGTTGTAAGGATTGGTGGATTC